CTCTTCCCTCCCTTTGACTAGTTTAATGTCTACTCTTCATTCTAGTCTTAATTATCACTTATTCCAGGAAAGCTTCCTTTTCATTCTAAGTCTAAGCAGTTATCCTTCCTACCCATTTCCATTAAATCCTATACCTTCTATCCTGTCTGGTATCAACTGTAATTGATAAATTGCTTACCTGCTTCCTTTACTAGGTCTTAGGGTCAGTGATAGCAAGAACTGTGTCATGTCTACAGTTTTATCTCTAATATCTACTGCAATATCTAGTGAATGAATGAATGAATTCATACCAAAATGAAAATTATGGATTTATCTGCATGAGCTTCTTCTAATAGGGCTATTTTCCTGTAAAAAGAGGTCAGAGTGTAACTCATATGAAAGAGGTGGGTGGTCCTTTTGGTCCCCCTGATGTCACATGATGTAGCCTTTTGTTCCACAGAAGCAAGAGAAAATAGCAGATTTCCACTTTTGTCTATGATTTGCCTTTATCAATATGCACTCCTCACTCTTCCTCCTTCTCCTCTTTTCCCACATACCATGGCTTAGAGGAAAATTCAATCAAGGATGGTTATTTCTTCAGGGAAAATATCATCTCTAATTTAAACCAAACAAAACCCAAGGGATCGGGCTGGCTCTTTTGAGGTTGAGTAATGGGTTTAGAGGAGAAAGTCACCATGTGCCAAATATTGCACTGATACCGTCAACTCTTTGCGTAAATTTGACTTTTTTTCCCCAGCTTTTGTTACTCACACTTTCATGATCTCTTTTTCCTTTCTGAATAGATAATAATTTGCCAAATGTTAACTTGCCTTGGGGTCTGTGTCTATGGAGAGACTGAAACCTGGCAGGAAGTATTTGTTTGCCAAGAGTGAATTACACTGCTTATGATTTTCTTGAATAATTTTGTGTTTAAAATAACTAACACAAAATTGTTACTTAAAACAAGCCAAGTTCCCCAACACAAAGATGAACAAAAACTTAAGGAAATCCCACAACATGAAACTTAGTATTGTCAAAAGAAGTCATTGTAAGTTGGAGCTCCCCGAGACGTCTTCATGGATGTGGTAAGCTGTAGATGGATATTAAGATTTCTGATTGAGTAGCAGAAAAAATTAAAATGCTAGGCAGCTTGCCCTGCAACTTGCAATCTTTGTGGATCCTAACAGGCAGAAAACTTCTATTGCCAAGAAGAGTTACAAAACCTAGACATTCCTCAAGGCTTTGGAAAAAAGTCAAGAATTACTCCATAGTGCAATAAACAGGATGAGAAGCCAGAATAAACCAGAATAAGGACATCTGTCATTTGTGGCTGTCCAAAGTCTTTTAAATAGACTCTATACTTTGATTGTTCTCCTGTTATGATTCCCACCTTTGTTGAATAGGATGGTGCTGGCATGTAATCTAGATTCCACCAATCAGACACGTAACTTTGGAGTAAATAATGTAAGGAAAAGGGCTGGGTGCAGGTGGCAGTGGCTTGGTTCTGGGACCAGTGTTGAAAGTGCTGTTCTGTGGTGAAGTTTTGGGAGGAGTTTTTGGAAACTCAGCCATAAGTTTATTTCTCTGGACCCTTGAGCTACCTAATATCCCATAATAAATTCCTTTTCTGCTTAAACTAGCTATTGATAGTTTTTGCAACTAAGAGACCTAGCTGACATTCTGTTGCCTCTTGATAACATTTGTGGGTCTTGGCTTTAGAATTGCCCTTCATCCCTCACTGGTTATCGAGTGGATCACATGAAGTTGAAGCAGTAGAGTCACCATGTATAACTCATGATATAAGCAGAGTATGAGTTCATTGCCTCCCTCCATCCCTTTAATGTTTCTTCAGAGGAGGTACTCTTTCCTATTCTCCTATGAAAACTCTAGTGGATCCCAAGGCTTTTATGTTCAGGAGGTAGGGTTGCTTCAAGTAACAAACACAGTCTGAAGTCGGTAATTAGAATATCCAGGAGGAGATATTAAACAGATATCAAAATGTGATTTAATGGCTTATCTCCTCCTACTCCTGGATCAGCCTGTCTCAGCCTGGAAGCTTCTAGTAGGGAAGGGGAATGTGGTTGGCTGTTTCTCCATCTCCCTATCGATACTCTCATCCTTCCCCAACCTGCTGGTCTGGGAGTGTAAAAGGGATAGAAAAAGCATCAGTTGAACCGACCAAATAGAGTCAGTTTATATATGGCAGCTGTTGAAAGCAGAGTCTTTCATGAAGCACTTTGGTGGCTCTTTGGAAGCCAAGATCAAGTCTCTCAGACTTCAAGTTCCCTTGTCCTGAGAAGACACTTCCCTAATCTCGATGGTTACTTGTGCTTCCTGTAGTTTCTGGTAATCTGGCTTTCATCTCCAACTTTTTGCTGGGGTTCTGCTGCCTCTTTAGGAGGCTGTATAGGACAAGCACTCAAGATGAGCTCTCACATCTGGTTCCCATCAATATCGCTTGCCCTGACAAACTCTGGTAGTGTTGGCTAATCTCAATGTAACAGTACGTCCCCTGTCCTTGCCACCAGAGCAGTTGGCTCATATTTTGAGTTGATATTCTCTGGGTGGACATTAGACTGCACACCCTTATGACCTATAGAGGTCACATGTTAAGCTCTTTCAGTGGCCCCGTGGAAGCCCACACCCCTCTTATGAGGGAGATGAAGGGGCATGTATCTCTTTCTAACATCTTGTTATAGAAATAAAGGACAGGTAAATGTTTTGTTAAAGATAAAATTCTTTCAAAATCAAACTAAATTCAGCAAACATATGTGCAGTGAGTAGCGAGTTAGGCCCTGGGGATGCTGAAATAAATAAAATATACTACTTCCTCCCCATGTAGAATATTTATAATTGCAAACAAGAAATTGCAAAATGGCATGTGCCAGGGAGAAATGGTGGCATAAATCACTCTGCTGGAATGATTTGGTCAGCGGAGTAGATACTTAAGGAATGAGTAATGACATAAAGAGAGAGTATACCACACAAACTCAATGGGAAATGTCTGGATGTATGAGTGGCATGGGAAACTTTGAAATTGAGAGAGAAGATTATGCTAGGAATCCGGCTCATTGAAGGGAGAGTTTCCCTTTCATTTGCTACAGAGAAGTTTTAGATTTTACACTTCGAGTGACATCTAGGAGGCTCATGGCTTCAGATATCTGCATACTTTGTTCACCTTTAGGTGTCTACATAAGTTTGAGAACATATACTGAGGACATCAGAAAATACAAACAAGACTTTTGCTTCTCTAAAATTCTCTCAGGGAAAATAGAAAACAAGCACAAGGAATTTCTCAATGAGTAGAATTAGTTTCCTTGGATCTGAATAAATTAACAATAGAAGAAATTCTCCAGGTTATATTCTCTGGTCACAGTATAATAAGGTGAGAAATAGTTATTAGTAATACTTTATTGCTATTTCTTTTATTGATGTAAGAATTCAAATGAATAACAGGAATACCATATGGAAAATGTTTAAAAATCTCCAATATAACCACTAAAATAAGACATAAGCCAATTACTTAATAACAGACGTTGGAGTAAATAACAAAAACTGGAAATCTTCGTAATACAGAAAGTCTTGGGGATGGAGTCACAGAAATACTCAGAGGTCAATTCATAGTTGTCAATGCTTTCACTGTTAAAAAAAATAAAGAGCAAATAAACAAAGCATTTACCTTGATTATATAGGGGAAAAAACACATTAAAAGTCTTAAGAAAACTAGCAGAAATGAAGTAAAACAAAAGCTGAAAAAATTAATTGTTAAGAAAAAAATGTTGGGACTTCCCTAGTGGTCCAGTGGTAAAGAATCCACCTTTCAATGCAGGGGACGTGGGTTCGATCCCTGGTCAGGGAACTAAGATCCTACATGCCACAGGGGAACTAAGATCCTACATGCCACAGGGCAGCTAACCCTGCATGCCACAACTACTGAGCTTGCGTGCCTCAACTAGAGAGTCCATGTGCCGCAAACTACAGAGCCCACGTGCTCTGGAACCCGCACGCCAGAACTACAGAGCCCATGTGCCCTAGAGCCTGCACGCCACAAGTAGAGAAGAGAAAAAACCCACAGGTCACAACTGGAGACAAGCCTGCGTGCTGCAATGAAGAGCCCGCGTGCCACAACGAAAGATCCTGCATGCCTCAACGAAGATCCCACGTGCTGCAACTAAGACCCGACGCAGCCAAAAATAAATAAATTTTTAAAAAAGAAAAAAATGTTAAAAGCAGAAACAACAACCCCAAGAGCTATAATTACACTTAGAAGACTGCAGATTTTATCAAGGAAAGAAAATGGAAGAAAAGGAAGAAGAAAAAGGAAGAAAAGCAGAAAAAACAACGTGGAAGAGACTGTTAGCAAGGGTTCCCTGAACCAAGGGGGAGGAAACCTGTCCAAGGGGACGGTGGCAGAGTCTCAGCATTGCAGGGCAGATGACACAGGTAATCAGAAGGCCGAAGCAGAGCTTCCAGCCTTTTTGCCAATTAGGGACCCTTCTCAGGCAGGCACCGAGAATAAGGAGCTCCACCTGAGACAAAGACAGAGAGAAGGAGTGGCAACGGCCCCTCAGGGTGAACCCCACACATTGGGGAGTGATGATGTTCTGTTATCTTTTCCATTTCTTCTCTGGTAGTTGATGGTCTGGATCATGAGAGGCCCCTACTGTGCTCCTCAGAGTTGGGAGTGAGGAGAGTGAGATTTAACACAGGGAACAATTGAACACCATTTAACACAGTGGGAGGCAGGTGTCCTCACTCCTGGGACTGGGACTGTGGCTGTAGCTGTAGTGCAGTAGCTGTAGCTGTAGTGAGAAGTCAGGAAGCTCCACCAGGTGGGTGACCAAACAGAGGAATGCTGTGCCCATCATCCCAAACGCCTCAGTGCTTATATCCCCACAACACTGGGGCCTCTCGGGCGCTGGATCACTGCGTCCAGTTGCCACCACTGTCTTGAAACACTCGTGTCTCAGGACCATACTCGCCAGACAGAGCTGCCGCAGGAAGATGGCCTTGCCTCCCTTCTGCCTTCCAAGTTTCACAGGAGAGCCCAGGCAGAAGTTCAGTCACATCCAGGACCTCAGCTGAGAAAGAGTCTGGGAAATGTGGTCTATAGTTTTTCAGATTACCAACCAATCCAAACCCAACCAAACCACAGAAGGGGGTTGGAAACCAATGTCAAGTGCTGATGATGGTATTCAGCACAATGTGTCTAGATGTAGGTTTCCTTTCATTGACCTTGTTTGGGGCCTCAATCTGAGAGTAGATGTCGTTTATCTATTCTGGAAAATTCTCAGCCATTATGAACTCAAATGTTGCCTGACTTCTCTGGGTTCCCACTTTCTCCTGGTTTTTGGCCTCTGAAGATTCATCATTACTTTCTCTCCGTTCACTCACTGAAAAAAAAAAAAAAAAAAGTCTTTTTTGGGGGGAGTAATTTACCCAAAATGTTAGGTTGTTTTCAACCTTTCATTTGGACTCTACTGAATAATATAAGTAATAAAAATGTCCTGAGGTAAAATCTAATGTAGGTTTTATCACATGCTTAGTTTTCCCTCCTTCAACAATGAAAGTTTATTAAAGAGAAGCCAGGAGCTGAGGGACCATGGGGTTTATGGGGCTGTCTTTATGGTTTTTGTAGAGGCCAGGGCTGATCCACACTTGCTGGCTGAGGTTAACTATCAGGTCCAGCAAGGATGCCTTTGGACAGTGTTTAGTTAAAGCTAAATTTCGTAGGTAAATTGGTCTATGGCATACGTCAAAGCTTATTTCTCATTAAAGAGGAAAGCAGGTAATGGAACATCAGTTCTCAGTGACAGGGGAGAGAAGCAGCTTCTAACTCTCTTGGTGGTGTGGTTCAAGAGTGGCATGGACATTTCAGAGCCCTTGCCCTAGAGTTGCTAGACATGAACCATTAATTGGACATAACAGGTAATATATCTGAGAAGGAAGCAATGAGCAAACTGACCTGCAGCAAATAGACAAATAACAAGATTTTATTCCTCAAGAGGCCACATTAGGGAAGAGGTGCAAAACAGCTTCCAATAGGGGTTACTTGATGGGGTTCAGAAAACATTACTCTGAAACATGGTGCCTTGACATCATTGAATATTGGAAGCTAGAAAAAATAGAGACCTGACAGGTGCAGGGAGAATTCTGAATGTCCCCTTCTCCCCTGAAGCAGCCCTTTCTATACCTGCAGGAAAAAAGGATTCTTATTTCCAAAGATGGAGGGATGCTAAGAGGAATCCAGAGGAACATGTCTTGCTAAGTTTCCCAGTTTACTACCTTTAGCTCATATCCCTTTGTTCTATCATGTTTTTCCATGACTTCCCACTCTTCATTAAACCTAGTATAGAAACACTCAGGCTTAACTATTTCTTCAGGTTTTTATTTCCCTATAAAGGCTCCAGAGTCATGTAAAACTTACATTAAATAAATATGTATGACTTTTCTCCTGTTAATCTGTCTTTGTCAGTTTAATTTTCAGGCCCAGCCAAGGAACCTAATACTTTTTCCTCCCCTGCACTTAAGTGGAGACACTCCTGCAGCAGTTCATAAACATGCAATTAAAAATAATTTTTTCCCCTTACTGCAGGGCCATAATGACTCCAGGAAGAGAAAGGAAGTCTGTTCCCTAGTACCTGAACTCCTTACGTGCATTCTCTCACAGCTAGCAGGGGCACAGAGAACATGGTGACAAAGCCTCCTTGAGAGCAGAACCCACAGATACTTTCTACCCTTCCTCTGGGTCAGGGATATATGTATTCCACTAGATTCTGCCCATCCAGTTAAAGTGGCAAGGCATCCTAGCTGTTGATCTGGCTAAAGGCTAATGCTGGGGCCCAGGTCATGGCTGCTCTGGGCCTGAATCTTGTATGAGGCACAGAGGTGTAGAAGGGAGACGTAGTTCACTGATGCACAGCTGCACTCACTCAATCCCCTCCAAGCTTTCTCTGCCACATTACAGTGTGCTCATTAAAATATGCAGTTGTCCGGCCACTACCCTGTTTGAAATCCTTCAATGACTCCTTCATTACCTTCAAAGTAAAACCCAAATCTGTTATAGAAGATCGTTCATGATCTCAGCCAATGGTTACTTCCCCACTCCAACCATTCAAAACATTTTGGTTTCCCATGACTATATTTCATTGTTCCCAGTGTCTGGTCAGAGTAGACCATGCCCTGGGTGTCCCAAGCTGAATCAATGAATTCTCTGCCCAAGGACTTTTGGGCTTGAGGGGAGAGAGAGAGAGAGAGAGGAGGAGGAGAGAGAGAGAGAGAGAAGGAGAGAGAGAGAGGGAAAGATCACTTAGACCATCTCTGGTAGTTGCAAGAGGTCAAACTCAAGTGTTGGCAGGTGACCATGTTTTACCCCAATGTGGAGAAGACCACTCAGCAATGAGAGAAGATGAGATCCATGTGCAGAGAAACGTGAAAGAGACTGAAAGGGAGTCCTGGCAGCATTGAGTACCCAGCTCCAGTTGGGTTTCATTACATTGTTGACCTGGCTAACTCCTTATCCTTAAGAGTTGTGTGTGAGACATTTCACAAAAATAAGGACATGAGTTTCTGGTCTCTAGTGAGGGTGCCATAAAAAACATGCCATGTGGAGCACTTTCTTCAGTTAGGTCTGCTTGGAATAGCATTTGCCTGAAGGACTGAAGACATCCAGTTATTTCTAGATTGCCCTTGACTCAAAAACATGCCTGAAGAAAATTTTTTAACATTTTTTTTTTTCTTGAGACATTTATTTACTTTGTAAAAAAAACATTTTGAGGCTAGTTCTTCTCAGCGACTAAGACAAGATCCTGAGCTTTATGAAAATACCTGGTATTTGAAAACGGTAACGTGTTGGAGCATTCAATGGAAAAAAACTGCCCCCTAGGTACAAGTCCAGGCTAGCGATGTTTGGAATGCAAGAAAGAATCTAAGGAATTAAATTAGAACTCATTATTATCTGCAGAGCATGTCTTTTAGGCTTTGGGATTGAGCAAGTTTGTGCTGTTTGAAGTTGAGATGTGGAAACATGCACCCAAGAAATTTCCCTTTTGCTGTTAGCACAAGTCAATACCTGGGAAGCTGGTCGAGAAAAGGTGCAGTGAGGTGTGCCCTGTGATGACTCCTTCCTTTTCATTCACAAGAACCTGGCTCTGCTCTCCCCACTCTCAGGGCAGGAGGTGACTGAAGAGTCTGTACAAGGCTAGCAAAGTCAGGCAGAAAGTCCATGATGTAGCTCCGCACACTGCATCTGAGAAGGGAACCACTAGTTCAGTAAAACCAAACCTGAGAGAGAAGTGGGCAAAGGGAGAGGAGAGGAGCAGGGCGCTGGATCAGTGTAATAGGATGTTCATAGCTGGGTCTTCAAACTGGAGTCCCCCCTGAACCTACAGGTACACCAGAGATTAAAGAGAACATGCTGGGTTGTCCTTTCTGGACGTTCTTTATTAAAGAGAAAAAAAAAAATCCTTCTCAGACTTTACATAACAAGGAACCCAAAAAAAGGGAAGGGGGTAGGTTTGGTACTTGCAAAGCCTCCTTTAATTAGGCACAAGTCAGTGTTCCACTGGCATATTTTGCACGATTTCAAGAAGAATCATTATTCCAAGTCCTCAGGGTGGTAGAATTACCTTGGCACCAAACCCCAGGGGTCTACTCCAAGCCCCTGCATCTCTCCAGGAGCAGGAACCCAGCCTGGATCTCCTGGTATTAGGGAGGCAGGACCTTATGGGACCACTAAAGAATCCGGCAGTTGGGGGAATAAAGGCAGGTCAACAAAGGTTTGAGGGTGGGACAGGGCTCTGATGCGTGAAAGGAGGAGTCTGGATACGTTTCTGAGCCCAAGCCTCCCGCCTTTGCCTGGCTAACCCAGCAAGTCGCTGCAGCTCCTCAGGAGTGTGCCAAGTGAACGAAGCAGATATTTGGTTTCACTTTTTAAAGTAATCACAACTTCGAGAAACTGACAGAGGTAAGATCCCTCCAGGGCTTCTGCTTTGATGATGCAATTGGGGCTGGGAGGGAGCAGCTGTGATGCAAATAGCTTGGGCCAGCCCAGGAGGAATCTCTGGTGGGTGGAACAGTCTTTTGGTTAGGAAAAATAGTGGCATCCTTGCCCAGTGGGAGGAACAGGCAGCTCAGACTTGCTTTCTTGAATCCACCCACTGAATGGAGACACAGCTGCAAGGGATGAAATCCACGTTCCTGATCAGTCTGCTCCTCTGATTTTAAGGAGTAGATTCCCCCCCCCCCCCCCCCGCCTCTGTGGAAGGGTCTTTTAACCACCTTTAGCAAAGGATAAAATAACTTGTTCTTCTCAGGACAGAAAATTGATCCTCCAGATCTGTGCCAGCACCTTTATTTCACACAGCTGATTTGTGACCCACCTGGAAAATCAGGAAGCTGCAGCTCACAGGAGGCTCACCGTTAAAGAAAGTAGAAGGCAGCCCAGGCTAAACAAATGCCAGCCCTTAAACTGCTTGTGCAGGAATTGAAGAACAGACTTCCTCAGGGGGTTATTCTGTCCTTCTGTGTCAAAACAGAACTGCTGACTTCAGCGAAAAAGACACATGCTTTGCAAGATCATTTCCAGTACTGATGACAGAGTTACGTTGCTCCGCAGGGCCTCATACTTTCGTTTACTTAATTTATAAATCACACCCTGCCTTCTTCTCCCTCAAAAAAAAAAAAAAAAAAAAAAAAACTGTGGTAGCATATTACAAAAGCAAACAAAATGAGCATCATGTGATCACAATAGAAACAAGGTAAGACAGGTAGAGGGACATGTTTGGTTAGAAAATATGCCAAAAGGAAAATCAATATTATTTCCGTGAATTGTGCATTCAAGTGGCCAAAAGAAAGCAAAGGAAGAGCCAAGTAGCCAAAGAAAGAAGGAAGGAAGGTGTATGATCAAGCCACTCAGGATAGCTGTTCTCTTGCTCTCTGCACCAACCCCCCCGGGACCAGTGCCTGCTTCACCTATACCCTACTTAGAATGGCTGACCTTCATTACGTACTTGCCCCAGACCCCAGCTAGTGATTGTTCTAATCAAAGGGGTGGGGCATGCCCCTCTGCTAGTTTCCCTGGTAACTGAAGAGCCAACCGGATTTCAATTCCCACTATAATTGGCAATCTTCCCTTCCTCCTAGGAGGGAAGCCTGCCGCCATGTCCTGCTGGCCGCTGTGGGAAGTCGCTCCAGGACCTTGCTTCAAACGTGTAAGCTCCCCCATCCATGAAACCGTTAATGTCTCTGTTGCTGACTCTGGGCTTTCTTCCGTCTTAAAGTTGGGCAAGTGCAGGCTTTGTAGGCGTGCCGACTGCAGCCCAACAGGAGGAAAGAGGGAAGGGAGGAACCAACATTTACTGGATACCTCGCTCTTCTATCCTTGTGCTGGGCACTTATCTTATTTCCTCCAGTTCTTAGCACAGCCCTAGGAGAGACTGTTTCCTCTATTTTACAAGCGAGGACAGAGAGATTAAATACATCAGTCCAGGATTGCAGGACTAGTAGATGGGATTAGGATACAGCTTTTTTTTTTTTTTTTTTTTCTGTGGTACGCGGGCCTCTCACTGCTGTGGCCTCCCCCTCCGCGGAGCACAGGCTCCGGACGCGCAGGCCCAGCGGCCATGACCCACGGGCCCAGCCGCTCTGCGGCACGCGGGATCCACCCGGACCGGGGCAGGAACCCACGTCCCCCGCATGGGCAGGCGGACTCTCAACCACTGCGCCACCAGGGAAGCCCCGGATACAGCTTTTTTTTTCCATGCTCAGTGAGGCTCCGGGAAGACAGTGAGGCCCAGTGCTTAAAGAGTATGTTCTAAAGAACCAGCCACCTGGGTTCAAGTCCTGGCACCATCGAGTACTACCTGTGTGCCTTCCGACACATTCTTTAACCTCTTCCTGCCCCGTCTCTGAAATGGGGATAAAGAGGATTGCATGAGGAAATCTATAAAGCAAGTACTAGTATTTGGAATATAGTTAATGCTCGAAAACTGGTAGGAGTGGGTGGGGTACTGCGTTTTTATTTATTTAAAAATTTTTAAATTTTTTTTAGTTCCTGGATTTCTGCCTTAGTCTATTCAGACTCCTCTAACAGAAAACCATAGACTGGGTGGCTTATAAACATCAGAAATTTATTTCTTACGCTTTTGGAGGCTGGGAAGTTCAAGATTGAGGCACTGGCAGATTCCATGTTTGGTGTGGACTTCTGGTTCACAGACAGCTGTTTTCTCACTGTGTCTTCGCATGGTAGAAGGAGTGAGGGAGCTCTTTGGGGGTCTCTTTTATTAGGGCACTAATTCCATTCATGAGGGCTTCACTCTCATGACCTAATCACCTCCCAAAGTCCTCACCTCCTAATACCATCACATTGAAGCTTAGGATTTCAACATGTGAATTTTAAGGGGACACAAATCAGTCTATAGCAATATCTCTTTAAAAATAAGTTTGAAACAGTGTCTGACTTACATTCCTCTACCGTAATTATCCCTACATTTATGACTGCATACTCTATCACCTCTTACTGATAAGTATTATTGGTAATACTTTCTATAGAGAGAATAGAAAGATAATTCAATCTTTTATGGCTGATCAAAAAAAAAATTTTTTTTTGGTTTCTGTTTTGCCTAGATACTTTTTTTAATATGGATGTTACTTTTTAGAGCAGTTTTAGGTTCACGGCATGCTTGAAAGGAGATTTCTATATATTCCTATATTCTCTCTACCCCCACCTATGCGTAGCCTCCCCCATTATTAACAACGCCCTCTAGAGTGATACATTTGTTATAATTGATGAATTTGCATTGAGACATCATAATCACCCCCATTCTCTTGACAGTATCTTTCACAGAGCAGAAAATTTTAATTTTAATGAAGTCCAGTTTATCAATTCATTCCTGGATCATGCCTTTGGTGTGGTATCTAAAAAGTTATCACCAAACCTGAGGTCATTTCTGCTGTGTTTTCTCCTATGTTATCTTCTAGGAGTTTTATAGTTTTTCCTTTTGCATTTAGATCTGTGGTCCATTTTGAGTTAACTTTTGTGAAGGGTGTAATGTATGTGTTTAGATTCTTTGGTTTTTTGACATGTGATGTCGAGATGTTCCAGCACCATTTGCTGAAAAGACTATCTTTGCTCCATTGTACTGCCTTTGCCTTTGTCAGAAATCAGTTGACTATATTATGTGGGTCTATTTCTGCGTTCTCTATTATGTTCCATTGATCTATTTATCTATTCTTTTACCAATACAAAATTAGTTTTTTACTAATAGAAGCTGGGAAATTTTCTTTCATCTTCACCACTTGCTATTAAATGCCACAGCTATAACTTCTTGCCCTAAGATAAAGCCTAAGAGAACTCCAGCCCTGAGATCTCGAAGGACGTCTCCTCAGTAGCTGACAGCTGCTGCTTCAGCAGGTGGTCTGAATTGGTCAAGTTTTTCAGCTCCCAGTTTCCTGTCCCCGCTGGATGAATTTCCAGGGTATGAGAAGACTGTGAAGCCTGAATCATAGTGGCTCACAAAACAACATCTCATTCAGATTCTTCTCCTTGGGGTCAATGATAGAGTTCAGATGCCTGACAAGGGCCATAAGGGGCAGGTTGTTCCTGGGGCCAGGTGCATGTGTAGTAGTACTGGCAGCCCGTGGGCCACATGCTAGCCTTTCCTTGGCTGCCCCCTTCCCTGGTAAGGAGCTGGCAGGTCCAAGTGGATATGCCTACATGGAGCCTGTGGACTATACCATATTTACCTGCTTCCAGGCTTACTTGCTTGGGCTTTTCCCTGGGCCAGTCGTCTAGTGAGTGAACCACGCTTGTGTTGTGCCCTTCTTTAGGCCTCCGAGTTATCAGGGCAGCAGTTGACATCAAGGATGGAAAGGGTAGGGAGTGGGGAGTGCTGTGGACATACCTTGGATGTGTAAATTAAGGTGTGAGATCCCTCAGTGTGTAGGAAGGAGCCAAGGGCTGGAAGAGCAAGGGTAGGGGTGCAGCAATCTTCCACACCAAGTTTGAAGAGGCCAAGAATTCTGAATTTGTACCTGGCCTTCCAGATCATTATGAAGGCATATTTGTCAGAGTAATAGGACAGGACATATTTTATTTAACAGTTTGATACTTGATTTTAACTTTCACATAGCTAGGTGTATGGTATGAGGAAGACCATTTGTACTCTTTCCCATGGCTCCACAAATTTTGGGGGTGGACCTGTTGGTGA